GTAACAAAGTGTCTGATGTTGTGGTAAGTAATGGCAAAACCAGAGGTAACAGTCCGTTGATTGGTGTCAGTCCGTGGAGTCGAATAGACATCCACTCGCGATGGATATTCCCATTCATTGCCATTGTATTCAATTTGATTTATTGGTTCACATATTTGTCACTTTCCACACAACCATTGAATATCTCATAAGAGATATCATTTAAGAGTCAATCACTAAAATGTTGCTTCAAATAATAGCCTTAAATTGTTATTAAATAAAGTAAACTTTATTTTAGCACAAAATAATCACAGAATTATACAATATGAGTTTATATTTGAAAGTGTACGGGTAAATGTAAGTGTATACATGAATTAATTGCTTAAATGATTTATTATAATATAATATATTGTCTGTTTGAGCGCAGATTAAAATATTAATTTTGATTACAAATCAATATCTAGTTCCTAAAATGTATAAAAGTTGCAAAAGCTATATAACCTATATAACTTTACTTTTTCTTATCCCAACCGCTATCACCGCACAGACCACTACCACAGCCGCCGCCACCTCCACCGTAACCGCCACCGCCATATCCACCCCCGTGTCCGCCACCATATCCTCCGCCCCCTCCAGATACGTGTATAGAACCGGAAGCACTGAAACTTTTCTTATAACCGCCTCCACCTCCGTGTCCACCACCGCCATAGCCTCCACCACCACATCCACCGTAACCACAGCCTCCACCACCGCCTCCGTGATGGCCACCTGTCCATTAAAATTATATAATTATTATTAGTATTAATTATAATTATGTTAACAATTATATAATTAGTAGTTAGTGTGTTAGAAATGGTGTTAGAAGTTTATACTGTATAAAAGGTAAACTCACCAAACACACTTTTAAGTTTATTCACAGCTTTGTGTAAAACTGTGAAAATTAATTAAAATAAATGTATTTTAATGTAGTCTTTGAATGCAAAAGTGATTGAAAGGGAAAAATGAAAGTTTCAAAAGAAATTAAAGTTTTCCCAAATGTTTGCATTCATTCATCCAAATAATCATTAATTAAAAACTAATCAATAGTTTAAAAGATTCTGTATTTTGTGATTTAAAAAGTGTAGTAAAATTTTCAACAGATATTGTTTTTCAAATTATATCAAACATGAGCCTTACGTCCGCCGCCACCGATTTTGATGATAATTTTCTTGGAGTGTCCGCCACCGCCATAACCTCCACCACCATAACCGCCCCCACCTCCACATGTCGTGCAGACACCACCGCCTGAATTAGCAATGATTTATAAATTAAATGCTCAAAGAAATTAGCTAAACTTTCATCAAATACCTCCATAACCTCCGTGTCCACCGCCATACCCACCGCCATATGAAGGCCTAACGATTCTCTTTTTCTTAATCACTTTCACCACTTCATACCCGCCCTCATCGCCACCACAAGTGGTGCACACTTTTTGTTGGTTTAGATATTGTTAATATTTCTTAAAAATAAAATGTTTTACTATTACTTACCGCCGCCTCCGCCACCACCCCATCCACCGCCACCTCCATATCCACCGCCACCCCAACCGCCGGCAAACACTTCAACACATAATACGGTTAACACTAACAGTAAACTCAACGTAATTATGTTTTTCTGAAATATAATAAAAATTATTAAGAGGTTTTAAATAATTATATTTATATCTTTTAATTAAATCATACCATTGGTGCTAAAAAGTGTTATTACACAACTTTTTATCAATTAAAAGTGAATGTAGCAAACAATTATACAGTATGTTTATTTTTATGGCACCTATAGATGTTAAGTGTGTGTCTAATCAAACAGAAAGTGAATATATATATATAATCTGACGACTATTCCAAAGGCTATTATTTAAAGCCATTAGTCTTTTTCAATGTTAAACACAATTCAATGGAAAATAGCGAAAACTTGGTTTACGTTGGTGCGTGAAAACCAATTACATAATAGTTAAGTGAATAAACTGTTCGGGGTTTTTCTAAGACTTAAAGTAACTTAATATTGTTGAACACAATCACAAATTATCAATCAAGCAATTTAATTGTACTTTTACTACATAATAATTTCATTATTGTTATTTTCTGTGTTATTTTGTTGGATGATAAATAAAATACAAATTACTGTAAAATATATCCGGAATAACATATCAAATGTTATTTTTAAAATTCTGTGAAATGTAATGTTTTATTAGCAATACTTTTGTTATGTGTGTCTATTATACAGTATATTTGTCATGGGGTTATTAGTTAACAAATGTTTATTATTCACCTTTTATAAAAATTAAAAGTAATGTAA